GTCTTTCATTTTCAGCATTCGCGTAACCGCAAAAAGCGACCAAAACAAATTTTGACGGAAAATATACGTTTTTAAAATTCTATAGGTTTTCCCGGAACAAGTCCATTCGCATGTGCGGGATTTAGATATAGATCTATAGAGAATATCCAGTCTAGTTCCAGAGGTGGTTTTGCCCTCGAACCATTCAAACGTCGCGCAAATAATCTCGCGGCATCGGATCCAATTTTCTGTCGGATAAGTTCGCTCCATTTATAACCCATTCAACGGACGAGGCCTGGAAGATATCATTTTTGAGCCTTTTATACTTGGATTACAACCCCATTGTATCCTTTACTCGCCCATTAACGAGACAACTCTTTTTGTTTTTTAGTATTGAGTTTCATTTCCATTTCAATTTTAACTAGTAATAAATCCTTTTTATGTCCAACAATATCCGATTTCTACCTCTTTCCAGTTAAAACGCATCGTATCTTTTGCATGAAGAGTACTTAGTTTAATTATGTAGGAGTCTTTATAAAAATAGAGATAATTCGTATATTTAATGTTGGGAAATGGGAAGTAACTGTAATGTTATCGTAATCCGGTTGTTCGGAGAAAGGGGTAAATCCGGTCGTTTTCCCGCTTTAGCCCGACCCATAAACTGTGATTTGCTCCTTTTCGGCCCCGTTGATCGGGTGTGCGAAGAGTGCACATGTTCCATTACCGGCTGCGTCGTTCGCTGGTAGGCGCTCAAAATGATTTATTCGACTCGGATTTATTTGATGTTTAATTACGGCTACCAATGCAAATTATAAATATTTGATCAATATGTTAATAATTTCAAATATACAGGCTGTCCCGTTAAGCGCACGGAGCGACTGTATCTCAACAACGGTAAGGCCTAGAGGTTTGGGAAAAAAATCCTTATAAGCAAAGTGGGCATGAGAAATAGCTGGAAATTATTTTGAAGTTCGTAATTCGACCGCTAGGGGGCGTAACTGCCATAGAGAAACATAAAATTCCCTCTATCTCAGAAAGTTAGCCGATGAGCTATAACTTTGACAACATCATTTAGTAGCTTGGATAATACCGCATCGCTTTTGTTTTGCGATATTTCTCATATCTGTCATAATAAGGGAGGGGGAGGCCAATGCGTTTTCAAATGTTTACATTTTAATATCTCCTGGACCATTCAACCGATTTGAATATTTT